CTCGTCGTGCGAACATTTTATCGTCGCCGGCAGGAAAGGAGGAGAAGACTGCAAGTTGACTTCTTATTATGTCATCAGACCATACTTCAATTAAAAACCTCGTCTCCTCCTCTCCCCATGTGCTACACGGCTCATTTTTCCTGCCATCTTCTGTTTTTTCGGCTATGCGGGAATCACCGGAACTTCTTGTAAAAGGTCTGAAAGTCCGAACCATACAGAAATGCTTTCACACTAGAAACGAACCAAACCTTTGTTCAGTTTGATCCGGACCGAGACTACCTCTTTTCGTCGGACCAAATTTCATCTGTTTGATCCGGACCGTGGTCCGGCGGAGGTTTCACACCTGTAATTTTGATTCGGACCAAACTGAAAAGTCCGAAAGTCCGGACCAAACAAGGTAGGTGTGAAAAGGCCCTTACTCATCCTCAACTTGTTCCAAACCTGTAAAAATGTATGTGTTCAGATGAACACAAAGGAAGATATTTTGAAGAATGTTTGTAACTTAACAGTTGTGTCGGCATCATTGACTTCCATAGTATGGGAAAACAAATACTATGGACGTCAATGGTAGCCCACAACTGTTTGCTTACCCATATTCTTCACACAAAAAAATCTTTTGTGTTTAACAGAAGAAAGAAACTCATACAGGTTTGGAACAACTTGAGGGTGAGTAAATGATGACATTATTTAAATCTTTGGGTGAACTATCCCTTTAACCTTGATATCTGCTTTTTAAAAGAAAACGAGTCTAAATTATATATTTTTTTTAATTGTGCCAAGTAAAATCATGCAGCAAACACTGGAGTTTGAGTTTAACTTGAAGTCTGAATATTCCTTCAGTCAATAATCACTTCAAGGAACAATAACAAAATATATGTTTTCCATCAGGAAACCTCTTTCACATTGATTTCGGACACATACTTGGAAACTACAAGAGTTTCTTGGGGATAAGCAAGGAGCGAGTTCCCTTTGTGCTAACTCCTGATTTCCTCTACTTGATGGGCACAACAGGAAAAAAGAGCAGCCCTCTTTTTCTCCAATTTCAGGTAGACGCTTACGCTCTTAATATTTCACCCGTAACGACTTAGCAACCGATTTGTTACACTGTATTTTGATGTTCCTCTTTAGATACTCTACTACTAACTACAAGTAACTTTGCAACTACATGTCAACTAACTCTCATTAGAGTATTAGTAGACTGTTAGATTAGGGTTTGGTTTAGTAGAATAAGTTGACATGAAGTTTATTAGGGTTTGGTTTAGTAGAATAAGTTGACATGAAGTTTATTATAGTCAGTAGAATATCTGTTTAAGAGCATCACAATAAAGTAGGGGTGCAACAATGTTTTGTGTCACAATATATCGCAATACAAAAATGCAACAATATGTATTGTGGATAGTGTCAATATATATTGTGTATAGTTCACCCAAAATAAAAAATGTAAGTTTTAGTGTCAGTACGACATTAAACTACTATATATAATGTATAATGATGCAATGGGGGAATATTTGTGTGTCCTGATAATGCCAAATGTCTTGATATAACAGTAAAAAGTGCTACATTATTTTAAATATATCTAGTTAGTGATAAAGTGCAAGCATATTCATCCAAAATAATTCAGTATTTTCAGCTTCAGAATCATGAATATTGTTATTGTGTCTGTATTGTCCTGTGCTTTGGGTTTCCAGCACCAAGTCCAAACCTATTTATTTACACACCAATGTAATATCAAACTTAGCATTTTAAACAGTACATTTTTTGTTACCCTTTTATCATGTCTTGGAGTATCGCAATAAAATCATATCGCTAGTTCAGTATCGTGATATGTATCGAATCGTTACACCCCTACAATAAAGTGTTAGCGGATATTAAGCAGACAGTCTACTAATACTCTAATAATGAGAGTTACTTGATGTGTAGTTGCGGGCTTACTTATAGTTAGTAGAATATCTAAAGTGGACCATTGAAATAAAGTGTAACCACACATTCTTCTGCTGTGACTAAACATAAACTTCCTCATAAACGCAGAACGTTTGCCTGAGGGCCTACCTGGCTCTGAGACACCACACCAACCTGCTGATCATCCTGTTCTCCATGATGCTGATGACCGGCATGCCTCAGCTGACCAGCAAGGAGGACATCGAGTACATACGGGAAGCGCTGACGGTCGGACGCTCGGAGGACGAGGCCAAACAACACTTCTTGGACCAAATCGAGATCTGTCGAGACAAGGGTTGGACGGTGCAGTTCAACTGGTTCCTACACTTGGTGCTAGGCATTAAACAAGGTGTGGAGAAGCGTTCAGCTTGAAGACCTACAGTACAGCCACTTCATGAAGAAAATCAGTGTCTTCGTTTTAAAAAAGTGAGGCTTTTTTTAAGTGTTCAGTTACTACTTTTAGATTTTTTAGCTTTTTATAAACCTAAATTATATTCTTATTGAATGCATGCATGTCATGCATTGCTTTTTTCTTAATGCCGTCTTGATATTGCACTGCAACACAATACATTTTTGATTTAGAGATTGGGTCATTTTAAATGCCCATAATAAAGCTGTAAATAGGAAAAGCGCTGGTATTCTGTTAATCTTGCATGTGTTATCTGCACTATGTCTTTTTCTGGTTGATACAAAAATGGTTTGGGATTTTATACTGACATCATGCAATTTAAAAAAATTTTTTTTTTTTTTACTAATGTCATGGTTGAAATGCCTTATTCACATTTATCTGTCACCCTTTATTAATTTATTATGACTGTTGTCTGGTCATGTGATGTCAACAAGGTGGGCATGGTATGTAAAGCAAAACTGCTTTCTCTAGAAAAAAAATGATTCAAAATAATATAAAATAAAGAGGCAGTTGAAACTTTATTGATGATAATCATTATTACTAACTGTAATCTTTAGTTTAATATCTAACCCGCAAGAGCACTTCTTTAATGTATGGACTACCTACATGTCAACATGATTTTTTTTTAACATATATTTAACTTTATATTAAAATGCTTTGTAAATAAACAGTGTCATGACAATTATTCATCTTAATTCAAATTACTTCTTTAATCTGAAAGCATGAAATACCCAGATGACTTTATGCAGTGGAGCACAAAAGATATTTTGACTATCTATCTATCTATCTATCTATCTATCTATCTATCTATCTATCTATCTATCTATCTATCTATCTATCTATCTGTCTGTCTGTCTGTCTATCTATCTCTACCTACCTACCTGTCTGTCTGTCTATCTATCTATCTACCTACCTATCTATCTCTACCTACCTACCTACCTGTCTGTCTGTCTGTATATCTGTCTATCTATCTATCTACCTATCTATATAGTCTACAATTAAAGTCAGTGGTCCAAAGTTTTTAGATTCCCATGGACTTTTAATATCTGTAGGCTACAACAACAGGTGAAATGTTTTTCAAAAACTATTCTTTTGTCAGTCATAGAGGTTGGGAATGAGTAAATAATGCAAATTTTTTGGGTGAACTATCCCTTACATCATAATGGTGTTTCCAGTGAGATGTTGCCAAACATCACTGAACATGCACAACTGTTGACAGAGGTGAGTTAAGCCTTTGTTTCATGTTGTAATTCCAGTTTTTCCTCCATTCACTCCTAAGAGGAAGCATTTCCTTTCCGCCTATATTGATTTACCTGCAACCAGAGAGAGCTAACGTTACGTTACATATTTCTATGTGCTCAAGTCAAGACTGTACAGTTTGGGAAAACCGCCAATATTTTTTTTGCACTGCCAACACTCATACTGTAGAAAATGTGAAGTGCTTATTGATAATACTATAAATTCATACATTAACGCGTGAATAAACCTTTACAATCATCCTCATGTTGTTGACATTGACGTGAACAGCTTTCCCTGTTTGTCCGTTGATAGTAGGATCACGTGACGGTCCTTGAACTCGTGAAGAGGAACATTTACAACGACGAAAAGCAGCTGATCAAGTTTGACAAAAACATTTTCACACAAAAAGATTCTGTGAATCACATTAACATATTTTCTCTACGTGTTAAACAGTAATTTTATATAATGTAATGCTTGCATGAACCCATTCTACAGACCTTATTCAGAGCAGCGCCATGACAGTATAAGGTTGTGTAAGGACAGTCAGCGAGGCTGTGAGGGATAGACTTACTTTTCCCGCTTTAAAAAAATAATAATATATAAAATAAAAACCTCTATAAGCCCCTAGATCACTTATAATTTTCCACAGCTTATGTTGTCTGGAGTTTTTTGTCTATTGAAATATAATGAAATTTTTGCTGTGTTTTCCCTGAAAGAAATTGTGTAGCCTATAAGCCTAATGTTCTGGCAAAGTTCTCTCAAAGTTATGAACAAGCATTCCTCGAGTTACGTTAATAGAGCATTTGTTGAAAGTTATAATGTGATCTCAAAACATTAGCATAAAAACATATCTAGGTTATTATAGGCTACATTGTTCATGGAAGGTTTTTTGTGAAACGTTTTAAAAAATGTCAGATGAACGTAAATTAAATAGAGAACGTTCTAAAGTATCAATCCCAATTTTTTTACAAAATGGAATGTTCTCTTAACGTTCCCATAACCAAGATAAAACATGACGTAAGCATTCGGAAATAACGTCTCCATAGTTTAGAATGTTAGAAAAACTGTTCTTAGAATATTTTTGTTATCTGGGATGTCTTATTGCAATGTTTTTGTAATGTTGAAAATTACTGGCTTCTAGGGTTTCTGTTGATGCAATTTTTGGGGTTTTGTCTGTTCTGGGACTTCCTCTTGTTTCTCACACATCTTCACACTTTGATTGCAAAAAAAGGCAAGTCATGGTGTGCCACTTCCCCTACATACAATAAGTAAAGTTTAAATATCATTATTAGTTTGGAAATAGTGTATTTCGTTAATTTTGTTAATTTGTCTTTTTTCTGGTGTTGAATGAGCGTGAAGTCTTCCTTTACATGTGAATCTGAAGCAGCTGCTAAATCACATTTCACCCCAAAACTGAATTCAAAATAGCAAACATTAGTTTGTTCGTTTTTATTTTATTTTTTAATAAATTAAAATGCAGCGTTTAGAAGATCCACCACAGACAAGTCTAAGGATCAAAGCGATGGAGCTTTTATTCATTTTAATGTCAATGTTCTAGTTTACAAAAAGCAATAAAGTGCATAAATCTTAGGGACAGCGACAAACAGCATTAAAAAATAAAAATATACATAAAAGATGATGGCACACAGAGAAAGACTAATAAATCACAAAGCATAATTTGGATTAGCTTTGCAGTGATTGGTCTGCGAACAAATACTTTTGTAGACTAAGTCAGTAAAATCATTTAAAACAATTACTGAATGTCTGATTGAGGTCGATATTATAGTGCATTAAAATATCTGATATTGATTTGTCATCTATTTATACACTCCCAAACAAATCCAATCTGTTCCCTAAGTGTTTTCTTTACCAACACATATTGTAATCTGCTGGGATTTTAAGAGTTGCACACCAAAAGGTGGAAAACCGGCTGTCTTTTTCAGGTGCCATCAGGCACGCCTTCATGGCAGCCGTTGACAAGGTCTCCATCTTTTGGCGTCTGGCATTCCAGCATCTCCCCGATGACGGCTTTGCGTATCACTCTCAGCCAGCGCAGCTTCATTTCCTCCGTGTCGGCAGTGAAGCAGTGGACAGATTTGGACTGGCACAGACGGAAGCTGGAGGGAGGATGATCCACGTCCTCAACCTGGTAACCCAGGAGCGGGATGGTACACTGGGCTTTGACATCCTGGGGGAAAAAATCCCAAATGGTCGATATTACCATTTAAATCTAGAAAAGATAAGTTACTAAAGCTCGGGGATTGTTATGGTGTTCCGAGTGGTTGCTAAGGCGTTGCTAAGGTGGTTTTAAGGGTTTCTGGTAATAGTAAATTGACAAGTGGTTGCTAAGGTGTATAGAGAGGTTGTTTGGGCATTGTTAAGTGGTTGCCAAGGTTCCAAATGGTAGCTAGAACGTTGCTAAGGTGTTCTGAGTTGTTGCTAGGATGTTCCTATGCAGTTGCTGATTCTTTCAGAGTAGTTGCTAGGGTTTCAGATGGTAGCTAGGATGTTGCTAAGTGGTTGCTAGGTTGTTGTAACTAGGAAGGTAAGAAGGTAACTAGGATGTTGATAAAGGTGTTCTGAGTGGTTTTTTAAGGCTTTAGATGGTTGCTAAAGCCTTCAGATCAGTTGCTAGGGTTTCAGATGGTAGCTAGAATGTTGCAAAGTAGCTGCTAATGAGTTTTGAGCTGTTTCTAGCGGTTGCTAAGATGTTGCTAAGCTGTTGATAATGTTTTCAGAGTAATTGTTAGGGTTTCAGATGGCAGCTAGGATGTTGCTAAGGTGTTCCAAGTTCTTACTAGGTTTCTAATGGTTGCTAGGATGTTGCTAAGCAGTTGGAAATGCCTTCAAAGTAGTTGCTATGGTTTCAGATGGTAGCTAGGATGTAGCTAAGTGGTTGCTTAGGTGAGTGGTTGCTAGGGTGTTGCTTAGATGTAGTTCCTGGGTGTAATGTATTGATATCATACATGACACTGGGGTTTCAGATGGTAGCAAGGACGTTGCTAAGTCGTTGCTAAGGTGTTCAAAGCAGTTCATCAAGAGTTGCTATGTTCTGAGTTGTTACTAGGGTGTTGCTAAGCAGATCCTAATGTGTTCAGAGTGTAATTGCAGAGAATAATCTAAAGCAAGATGCACAAAATACGTTTTTTAGGAGTATTTAGAAGAAATCAGCATATTCAATGATATCTTTAGCCCATTATTGTGAGTGTCTCTCACCTGTGGAGCGCCATACAGGTAAAGCACCAGTGCTTCGTGCTGTGGAATCACACACCAGAACCTCTGACACAGTTTAGTTCTGTCACTGTACTGCAGGAACCCACACAGGACACTGTTTCCTGAGACCTGAGCTGCTTCAATCTGCAAAAGGTCAGGAGGAGAGGAGAAAAATCAAAAACGGTTCACACAGACAGAAAGAACAACAACAAAAAAACATCAATAACAAACACCTCAAGAATTCCTCTTTTCTTCCCGGCGACTGGTTCCTCGGTGTCCACTCTGCCGGTCAGAGTGAAGTAACAGTCTTTACAGACCTTATTTAATCTGTTACTGTCGTACCTCAGTGGCGCCTTGTAGTCCGAACATTTATGGCACACAACCTGAAACACATCTTAAAACATAAGCTCATCTTTTAAAGTACAAAAAAAAAAAGCTTGCTTCACTTCAAAACCTTCTAAAAAAAACAATATTATAACCATGTACAGTCTGACAAATGAAAAAGTCAAAAGTCATTTTTTTGTATCATATTTAATAGAAAAAATATTTGGTCATATAGTATAAAGTGAGAATATGGAGCTCAAACCCGAGGAGGAAAAACATCTCAGTTTTATTCAGATGCCCAAAATAAAATATGCAATTTGGTGCAGATGCTGATATTTATATGGCCATATTTATATAAGAATATAATTCTGATAGTAATCTTTATAACAGTATACTTACAAAAAATGCATATAAATATCAGTCATCACTCTATATATGCAAATATTATGGCTTTTTAGTAAGATGATATTTAAATGCTAATGCTTATTTTTATTATCAAAGCTTTGAAGTTTTAAAACATATAATGTTCTCTGTGGGCCTCGAGTGAGTTCATGTAGTGTAACAGCACAGCGCTTCTGTGTTGTACGTCACACGCATCACACACACATGACCAGCGTCGGCCAATAGTGAGCCTGCGAGTGACGTACAACACAGAAGCGCTGCGCTGTTACACTACGTGAACTCACTCGAGGCCCACAGAGAAGGAAATGAATAGTTAAATAAAGTCGTTATTTTTGTTTGTTTATTGCGCACAAATAGTATTCTCATCGCGTGATAAACTTAAGCTTGAGCCACTGTAGTCACTCGAACTATTTTAACGATGTCTTTAATAACTTCTCTGGGCCGGCCAGTTTCAATCCCCTTGTGTTCTGTTCGATTTCTGTGTACTCCCCTTATGGACCGGGTCAAATTGACCCTAATTGGATTCAATACAATTCCTCAAAAATCACACTGTGAAAAACAACAAAGATTTAGATACAAACTGTAAACTTTTAATATCAACATTTGTCAAACATTATAAAAACATTATATCTGAAAATATGATTTATGAAAATGTTTTTAAAACATTTTTTAAAACATTTTTGTTTTGACAAAATTGGAAAATAAACAGTATACTGATTTTTTTTGCATATATTTTTTTTCCTTTTTTTTTTTTACATTTTATGCTTTGAACATCGTAACTGAACAAAAAAATTTTGCTGTATAATGAAAATTTTTCATTTTCCTAAGTTAACTTTCCCTAGTTTCCTAAGACCTATTTTCCTAGTTTCATAATTCACTCACTGGGAAGTGAGAAACCAAACATAACAAAAACATACATCAAATAAATGTTTTTTATTTATTTTTTGGCTCTGTGAAGCTGCCTTTGAAAATCCTACATAAAAGTTTTGGTTAAAAGCTAGGTATTTTAGATATTTTGAATATTGAAATGAGAGCTTATTTTACTATCTGTGTCTGACAAAGATTTTCATCTGTAATTTGCAAATAATTCTGAACACTGTAATTTTAGCTTTTTCAAGTGTGTTTGGTTAGGGTTAGAGCACTTAGATACACTTGCACGTTAGAACTGGAGTTGAAGTGCCCTGACATACAGAAAATAAACAGTAATTTTGTTTGTATATGTCAAAACACATCAGCATGTTGAAACTTTGCATGCATGTTCATCATGATAAATGAGAAAAAGTCACAAAATATCAAGAAAAAAAACAAAGGTTAACCAGTATTTCCAACAACTTGAAAATCGAAACGGGTCAAATTGACCCGCAACATAACACAAGGGTTAAGAAGCCTATGGAGGAGTGATCCAGCTCTCAGATTTAATAAAAAATATCTTAATTTGTGTTTAGAAGATGAACGAAAGTCTTACGGGGTTGAACAACATGAGGGAGAGTAATTACTGACAGAGTTTTCATTTTGGGGAGAACTAACCCTTTTAGGACTTATGAGCCTGCGCCATCAAGAGTTTCATGACAGAACTTTGTATGCATGCAAACTCACGTATCCACATGCCCTGCAGTGGTGTCTCCTGCGGGTCAGAGCGTTGAAGAGCTCCTTGCATTTCATGCACATGGTCACTTCATTGTCCCGAATCCAGCGCGGGGCTCTCTTCCCTAACTCCTCTTTCTGAAAAACACATGAGCCCAGATAAAGAAAGTGTTTTCAATAATGAACAAAGCAGTGATAGTTCATGGATTCGCTGGTTTGCGCATTTCTACTTACAGACACCTCATCCGCCACTTCTTTAGAGGCTGACTTGAACGTTTCATTCTTCTGTTGAAAGATTTCAATGGTCTCCTGGAACGCCTGGAACGTAAACAACTCGCATTAAAACTTGTTCCCGAAGCTTGTTTCCGCCACGGTATATAAAAATTAAATTATTTTTCTCGCAATTGCGAAATATAAACGGCCATTTCTGCCGAAAAAATTTGAATTCCGAGTTTATATCTCGCAATTGCAACAAAAAAAAAGTCCGAATTGTGAGATGAAACGGTCAATTCTGAGAAAAAAAATTTAATTGTTGATTATGGCTTACAATATAACTATATATAAGCTCACTATATAAGCTGTAAGCCATAATCATCAAAATTATAACAAATAAAGGCTTGAAATATCTCACTTTGCATGTAATGAGTCTATATAATATATTAGTTTCACCTTTTAAGTTGAATTACTGATGTAAATTAACTTTTGTACGATATTCAAATTTTTCGAGTTTCACCTGTAATAAAGAAATGTCATATCCTCTTAATTCTGACTCTTTTTCTCACAATTCTGAGTTTATCTCTCACGAATCAGACATTTCCCCCGTCGCAATTCCTTAATTCCTCATAACAATTGCAAAAAAGTCAGAATTGTTCGATAAAATGTTGCAATTTACTTTTTCTTTCTATCCCATGGCCGAAATAAGCTTCCATACTTTCCTGACTCTTACTTTCATATAATTCAGATTTACTTTAGGTTTGAACGACACTGATACCTTAATCCAGTCCTCTTTGTCTTGCTCTGAGCTGTGAACAACGAAAAGCTACAGTCATTATGAGATAAAAACAGACACTAAACACGTCAAATGAGTGTATTCTGTTGTCACCTGGCCTGCAGCTCCAGCGTCCGCTCTTTACCCGACACCTGGAAAGTGTGAGGGTAGTCGTCGTTGGAGGTCTCGCGCACCTTCATGCCCGCCACGCCGACCCGCTTGCGCACGGTGAACCGCTGACCCACAAGACTGAACTTGGGCACGCAGTACAACAACATGTGGTTAAACTGTAAAGAGAAGGATGCCGTGATTAAAAATTTGATTTTTTTGAATTTTTTACAGGCAAGTCATTAAGAACAAGTTCTTCTTTACAATGGCGGCCTGACAAGTGGAATAACCCCTTAGGGAAAGGAAATACATAGAGTACATTAGAAATACATACAGGTTAACAATTACATTAAATACAATTTAAAACTCAAACTGATTATGTGGAGAAGCAACTGCATGTGTCCGTGAACAAGGATATAATAGTTTTAAAATACATAATGTAATATACAGGTGAAACTCGAAAAATTTGAATATCGTGCAAAAGTTATAATTTTGATGATTATGGCTTACAGCTTACGAAAACCCCAAATTCAAATTTCTCAGAAAATTAGAATATTACATGAAATTAATAAAAATAGGATTTTAAATACAGAAATGTCGGCCCTCTGAAAAGTATAATCATGCATGTGTATAGTTATATATACTAATTCTTCACTAATATATATACTTTTTCTTCACCGTGGGATGGAGGGAAACGTAATTTCGATTATTTGTATGTCTGGAGCATGTGAAGAATCGACAATAAAGCTGACTATGACTAAATATATTAGTTTCACATTTTAATTTGAATTACTGAAAGACATGAACTTGTGCACGATATTAAAATGTTTCGAGTTTCACCTGTACACATTATAAACATAATCAGGTAACACTTTATTTTACAGTGTCCTAGTTACATATGTTACATGCACTTACCATAGAAATAGCAATATGCATAATTACATGCAACTAACCCTCAACCAAACCCTATAGTAAGTACATGTTGTTAATTAATATTTCTCAGTACTTAAATTTATAATTACACTGTAACAATGACATCTTAAAATAAAGTGTAACCCATAATCATATATGGTTACACTTTATTTTAAGGTGTCATTGTTACAGTGTTATTACATATTTAAGTACTGAGTAATATTAAGCAACTACATGTACTTAGTTGCATGTAATTATGCCTAATTTACTGTTATTACTAGGTAAGTACATGTAACAAGGACACTGTAAAACAAAGTGTTACCTCGTATATTTTTTTAAGACTTAATACCTTAAGTAATTTAGCTACTCAAGTAAATGTTTAGATGTTTGTACTGTGAAACAAGTCAAAATAAGAAAATGATATTTTTGCAGTGCGTTTGCATGCATGACTGTGTTTGATTGATCTCACCAGGTAGAGGTATCTCTCCATGGACGAGGTGTTTCTGGCGGCCAGCTTCAGGATCTGTCCTTCTTTAATGAGCTCGTTAGACGGGTTAACGATGTCCTCCTCACATCCCAGCATCTCGTAGATCTCCATGAGCTTCTTCAGGTTCTCCTGGAAAACACGCAGAGAAAAGACTTGAAAGCCAGATGGTTGGTTGGTGTTTTAACTCCACGCAAGCTATTTTCATGGCGAGTAACACGTTATAATTCTATAAAAGAGCCATTTACAAACATACACAAGGTTTTAGTAACACTTAACAGTAAGTTAATGAATGAATCAACATTAACAATGCGCAATATTTCATAATCTTTGTTAATGCTAGTAAATAAAAATATAACTTTGTTAACATGTTAACTCCGATCCGATACATAATATTATTAACACAGATACAACTTATGATTTTAGTTATGTATTAGTGAATGTTGAAATTAACATCAAGATTACCGTAATAAATGCTATGTATTGCTCATTGTTAGTTCATGTTAACTAATGTAATTAACTCATGTTAATAAATACAACCTTGTTGTAAAGTGTTACAAAGGTTTTTAAAGTTTTCTGTGGATAAAAACTCTAAAATGGATTCATATTTAATGCTGCTAAAAATTTCTCTTGAAAGTGCTAAACTACTATTTGTCTAAATAAAAAAAACAATAAATAAAATAATATTAAATACATTACTTTTTTATAACTATATATATACACATATACTGTACTGTATATTGCCTACAGTTTTTAAAACTAGTATGTGTGCATTAATAAACATTTCAAACAGTTGAATGAATCCAATAATAAAAAAATGAGTCGAAATATAATTTTTTTAAATTCTATTAAAGATACAACTGCAGTGTTGCTTCAAGTAAATTGGTGTTGAATACATTTTTTTTATATTATTTAATTTTATACATATTTAGATATTTAACAATAAAATCTGACCAAATCATTTCATATAATATTAAATATTTAGCTGAAAATTAAGATCAGACCTAATTATTGTATATTAATATATATATATATATTTTAGACATTTAACTATAATATATATATATATATATATATATATATATATATATATTAGGGGTGGAACGGTACACAGAAGTCACGGTTCGGTTCATACCTCGGTTCAGACATCACGGTTCGGTACGATTTCGGTACAAGGGAGTGAAAAGCAAAGCAAAAATGCAGAAGGCATTTTTATAAATGTCTTAAGCCTTGTATTTTTTTAAATAAGTTTTATTAATAAAGGCATAGAACCAGTTTATTTGTAGTGCACTGACAGTAGTTTTATATAATTAGTTTATTAATTAAATTATTAAAAAGACGAAAAGACCTTGAGATATGTTTGGTAATTGTACCTGAATGAATTTAAAATTAATTTGCTATTTCAGATCAAGATATTTGTTTTCCTTCATTTTAATTAACTAACTTTATTCTCATCTGAATTATAAATAATTGATTTCCGTATAAAATAATACTACCATAAAAACTTTTGTTAACAGGTGTAGGTTACAGTTTGACAAGAGTTTAGAGTGTGACAAAAGCACAATGTTGTGTTTTATTGCGAGTGTACACAAATATAAGTAAACAATTTGCAGTTTTAATGATGTCCTGTATGAAAAAAATGACGGAGTATGTTTTTACGTTTTCACTGTTCGATCGCCCGTGCCTCTCTCACACACACTCACACTCACACTCACACACACACACACACACACACACACACACACACACACACACACACACACACACACACACACACACACACACACTGTTCATCGCGTTCATCGCGCCCGCGCCTCTCTCTCTCGCACGCACGCGCGCGCACACACACACACACACTGTTCATCGCGCGATTCGCGCCCGCGCCTCTCTCTCTCGCGCGCGCGAACACACACACACACACACACCGCGCCTCTCTCTCTCGCACGCGCGCGCACACACACACACACACACACACACTGTTCGATCGCGCCTCTCTCTCTCTCGCACACACACACACACTGTTCATCGCGCCTCTCTCTCTCTCTCTCTCTCTCTCTCTCTCTCTCTCTCTCTCTCGCGCACACAGACACACACACACACACTCCTGCATTGCAATCTTGATCGCAGCCTGTTCATTGCTGCGTTCACAGTCACACCAAAAGCGAATAGAGCGAAATTCATCGCTATTTAAGAGGTTTTTTTTATTTGTACCGTGTATTCTGCGTGCAAATTCGTGCACCGAACCGTGACGCCCGTACCGTTTCGGTTCAATACGAATACATGTACCGTTCCACCCCTAATATATATACACACATACATGCATATATATATATATATATAAGATGGCCGCCTTCCTGACTGTGATTTATGATGTTTATATGCAATTGTTGTCATAAATGTATATTTAATTAAATTAGTGTGTACATATATATGTACACACTAATTTAATTAAATATACATTTATGACAACAATTGCATATAAACATCATAAATCACAGTCAGGAAGGCGGCCATCTTGTTCTGACTAATGCCTGTAACTAGCAGGTTTAGTGAAAGTGTGTCCCACCATCTTGCGGATGGCCGTGTTGGAGTGTGCGGCAGCCGTCGAGATGATGTTCAGAGACTCTGGAAAACAGGAAGGAGAAGTGATATCTGAGCTGACTCATCCAGTTATGGAACTGAGAGTATCTGGGAGTAAACAACACTTTTACTTTATCCTGCATGTTCAGTTGCTCATGCATGTGAGAAGGACACACACACACACACACACACAAACACGTCTCACTCTCGGCCTGGCTGCGGTCCGTGTCGTTCTCCGGGAGTTTCTTCAGATAGTCTTTGAGCAGCATCTCGTAGCGAGGAACCCGTTGCACCGGCTCCAGCATGTGATGCTGCAGAGTCAGATTCCCACACACGTCCTGACTCTGAAAACAGACATCAAAACTATTTATTCGTTTTTGGAGGTCATGGTAATGAATGCTCCTGAATGTAACGCTTGAGTTGGTACTGTGCAGGACATACTGTATATTGCCTACAGTTTTTAAAACTAGTATGTATGCATTAATAAACATATCAAACAGTTGAATCAATCCAATAAAAAAAAAGAGTCGAAATGTCATTTTTTTAAATTCTATTAAAGATACAACTGCAGTGTTGCTTCAAGTAAATTGGTGTTGAAGAATAATTTTTTTTAAATATTATTTAATTTCATACATATTTAGATATTTAACAAAAAAATCTGACCAAATCATTTCATATTATATTAAATATTTAACTTACCTAATTATTTTATATTATTTTTATATATATTTTAGACATATAACTGGAAAATCAGACCAAGTTATTTTATATTATTTTTATACATATTTTAGATATTTAACTGGTAAATCAAACCAAATTATATATTTTTTATATATATATTTATGTATTGCTATTTAACTGGAAAACCAGAACCAATTCATTTAAATAATTTTATTTTATATATATTTTAGCTATTTAACTGAAAAATCAGACCTAATTATTTTATATTATTTTTATACATATTTTAGATATTTAACTGGTAAATCAAACCAAATTATAATTTGTTTTATATATTTATAGCTATTTAACAGGAAAACCAGAACCAATTAATTTAAATAATTTTATGTTATATATATTTTAGCTATTTAACTAAAAAATCAGACCTAATTATTTTATATTATTTTTATATATTTTTTAGACATTTAACTGGAAAATCAGGCCAAGTTATTTTATATTATTTTTATACATATTTTAGCTATTTAACTGGAAAATCAGACCCAATTATTTGAGATATATATATATATATATATATATATATATATATATATATATATATATATATATATATATATATTGATTTATATATATATATAATTCAGGTAAAAGCACCTGTATGTCCTGAATGACTCCGCTAAACTGTGCCGATCGCTCCATCCACTGTTTGAGCAGATCCATGGCGCTGTCGAAGTTGATCACGTACTCGGCGTACATCCTCAGAAAGGGCGCGAGCTGAGCCATGATGTCCCCGATGCGGGGTGTGGAGTCCCTGCGGGAGGACGAGACGTGAGTCTGAGAACACCTGAGAAGAAGAAGACGAAGACGACGGCGACGCTCACCACTGGCTCATCCGCGTCTCCAGCTCAGGCAGGAGGAACTCGCTGTGGAAGGTGTAGATGGATCCCACATTCGAGAAGACGCTCTTCACCACCTCGATAGGAAACGCCCCCTTCCCAGCCTCCTCTGTGAGTCTCGCACAGAACACCTGCAGAAACAGTGCAGACGCCACTCTTAAAGGCCCTTGCACACTGAGTCCGAAATTTTCGTATGCGTTTTTTCGTATTTGTGATTCGGTGGCTCTGAATTGTCAAAACACCATTCAAACTGCTCGCTACGGATGCGAAAAACGCAGAAAATCAAACCTGATTTGATTTTTTTTTTTGACGGATGAAAGTTTCGGAGGCAGTGTGCAAGGGCCTTTTAAGGTCACACTGAGTCTGAAATGTTCTTATGGTTAATTGTTAAAGGGGTCATATAATGATACATGCACTTTTTCAAGTTGATTGTACTGAAATGTGTGTTGGCAGTGCCTGTACACAACCATCATATAATGATAAAAATCCATCCAGTGTTTTTGTTTTAATCTCCTTATGGTGTGTTCACACCGAACGCGAATTTAATTATTTGTGCGAGTAGATTACATACAAAGTCAATGCAAAGACGCGAATAGACGCGTCATTCGCGCCGGGCGTTGCGACAGACGCGAATTGGGCGACGCGTTTGCCGCGAATGTCTTCCGCGCAAGTTGAAAAATTTGAACTCGAGCGAATGTTCAAGCGTCTAACTAGAAGCGATAGACGCGTATTTGACGCTCTATTCGCGTTCGGTGTGAACACACCATTATATGTTTTCCCCTGCCTCAAATCGAGCCGTTCGAGCCTGTGACGTCACACGCTCGGAAGCCCCTCCCACGATTGTTGATTGACAGCAGCGTTTCAACACAGACCCGCCCTGAGCGAGCTGTCCTCATAGTCCGTCATTGTTGATACGCTGGAGCAGAATGGCGTCTAAGCGACTGTGGTGTTCTGTTCTTGGGTGTAATAACGAACACAGCAGTCATTTTAATGTTCCTAAATCCGAACCGCTGAAGACGCAGTGGCTGAGTTTTGTTTTCGAAGGGAATATTCCCCACGAGCAACGTCAATGCTCTCATGTTTGCGCGAATCATTTCACACACCAGACTGCTTTATAAACGAGGATCAGACTAAAGCTGGTTTTGCTAAGAAGCTGCTCATGAATAAAGGATCGGTGGCAACTATTTATGTTCCCTCTGCACCTCCAGAAGAAGCGAGTGTAAAGTTTTATTAACCTTTATATTAATCTTTGCAAATCGCGAAAAAAAGTTTTTCATGACCATTAGTTGTAACGTCAATCTGTCATAAACACATAGCGTTCGTATCTCACTTCTCTACCCTCCCAGTGCATACAAAAATAGATCAAAGTGACATTACGTTAACCAACCATTCAGAAACGTCCTGTTCGAGCCTTAACTGGCGAACTTCTTTGCGGCCGTCATCTTGTTCCGGGTCCGACTCCGGTTCAAACCGATACGGTTGCACAGATGTGTCCTCAGAGACTCCCGCTGCCATTCTCTCTCCAAAATATACCCTTGTCAAGGCAACACTCCACGTGCGTTGTGTCAAAGCGCCCGCAGAACAGAGGGGCGGAGTCAGCGAAGCTCATTATCATTTAAAGGCATATGCACTGAAACGGCGTGTTGAAAACTTAGTGTTTTCTTAAAATACTAATGAGAATTTTTAATAAAAATATATTACAAAGTTTTCATTTAGACCCTAAACATTCATATTAACTTGTACAAAAATGGCATTATACGACCCCTTTAAAAGACCCCTCGAAATGCTTGCTACGGATGCGGAAAACGCAGAAAATTTAACCTAATCCGAATTTTTTTATGACGGACGAAAGTTTTGAAGGCAGTGTGTAAACGTGATTGAAACAACGCGAGGTTGTATTTATTTTTTAACATGCGAAAATTTCGGACTCAGTGAGCAAGGACCTTTAAATGGATAGTTCACCCAAAAATGAAAATTAGCCCATGATTTACTCACCATTAAGTCATCCTAGGTGTATATGACTTTCTTCTTTCAGACGAATACAATCTGAGTTATATTAAAAAAATTACGTATTATTTTAATTTGCCGGAAGCTAGTTATTTTAACTGCTAGCCTGCCATTAAAAACAGTTTTACCCACTCCACAGTACAGCAAAAGCAGATCAATTATAACGCCAGACTATCGATGTAAATGTCTGTTGAGAGAATAATGTTAGAAATCAAACTACTCTTTCATCGCATTGCAATAGTTATACTTTGTTCCCTGTATTATTAGCGCACTCTACAGCAGCGGCGG